GATGTCCCCCACAGATTCACTGCAGAGTTAGGGTGATATTAATGAATGTTGTAAGGATGATAATTGCTTCCAGATGCAATACAGTGATTAATAGGTATTTAAGGGTACAATTTACCCTTTAAGTGATTAGGTACAGTGATATTTTAATAGGCCCCAATTAGGCCTCAGAAATTATAGTTACACTGTTTTCTAACAGAATATTGGCAATAAGGGGTTCCATTAAAACAATCAGCATAGCTCAGAGTTTCATATGATTATAAAATAATATTTTTAAAGCTGCTTCATATACCATTATTATGGTATGACTGTTTAAGGGATTATACTTAAACTAACATTTTTCCTGCTGCATGAAAACTTCAGCACATATATAATAAGCTTCTGTCAGTGCGTAACTGGTCCAAGCTTTAGCAGCCTTCCCCTGTGTATAGAGTGTTCAGGAGCCAGATGCTCAGCTGGTACAAACTAATGTAGCTTCCTTGCTGTCCATTTAGCTACTGTGGTTTATACCAGCTGAGGGTTTGGCCCTAAATGTACAGAATAGACAAACTGCAATTTTTATTTGTTCAAAGTAGCCCCTCTACTGTAGGTAACACCAAAACTGAAGACTGTAATATTGTTTGTGCTATTTAATACTTCCTATTTTGAGGATTACTGAATAATGTATATAATTTTATTCCTTAAAAAATATGAAAGCAAAATGACATCTAGGCATAACTTCACCAAATGTAAAGATATGTTCTCTGCTAAGGACTTCACCAAGTACTGATATTTTTTTGGCTATTTTTATTTTGTGTAGTTTGTAAAGTTTGCTGAAATCTTGACCTAGCAATGTGTTATTTGCAGTTGTTGTTACTGTAGATATGTGTGTTTTATTAAGAAAATCTTGTTTTTAAAAGTGTAGCTATGTGTATAAGTTCCTAGCATGATGAAACTGTCATTACAGTGAATATGCATTATACAGTGTGTAAGAAAGAACAAATTGTAGTTTAACATAGTGCTATTTAATTTAATATCTAAAATACTATTTGCCTGACAAAATAAAGCGTGTTGCAACAACTTAAAAATTTATTGTTTTCCCCTTTATATATGTTAAAAATAAAGAACTTCTTTTTTTATCTGAAAAGCAATCCCATAGACTTTCTTAAAAAAGTCCAAGAAAATGCTCGCAGCATCAGGTATTACAGCTGGTCAGTTCTGAGCCCTGCTCTGCGCTGAGCACACAATCACAGAGATTTCCAGGAGTACACAGAGAGTCGGAGATTAATTCTTTCAGAAGTGACCCCATGTAAAGACTCTGCATATAAACAGGTTAACATTTATTCATTGTAAATAAAGAAAAAAAGAAAAATTTGTTTTCTACTAGAAGTACAATCAGAAGTGTCCAACTTCAAAAAAAGGGGAATGAAGTGTAAATGCTTTCTGCTTATATTTCATTGGGAAAAAAAACAAACACAAAAAGCCCCAAACAAAGAAAAAAATAAGCGCATTCTGTGAAATTCTGCAGATGAAACAAACTGTGTTGTTCAGGTTTTTCTTTCAGCTGGGACTCGAGGCATTCTCCCAGCAGCTCTGCAGGGGAGGTAGGCTGGCGGGGCTGCACCCATTTCCTGGCTTGTCTGTGGAGTGAAATAACCTTCCCGACACTTACAGAATGCTCCTTTTTCCTGCATCTATCATCCAGGCAGTGTTATTATTACTCTTCTTATTATCTGTTTTTCCAGATGGGTTTTAACAAGAAAGCATAGGCCCTCCTTCAGTTTTTGGGATAATAATTAAAAATTAAATGTCACAAATGCTGACCTTCACAACAAGGTTCTGGATCGTTAAACCTGGATCTTGATTTCCCAGATAGATAGGTTCTTGCAAGGTTTTGTGAGGTGTGAGTGGATAAGATTACCTCACTCCAGGATTTCCGTACTGGCTGGTTCCAGGATGTGCTGACACTGGATAGTTACCTGCTCAGCACTCAGGCCAGTCTGGGTCAGAAGCTGAGGTTTTGAGCACTTCCACATGCTGTAGAAAATGTTTGGATTAGACTCCAAAAAAGCCGGGCATTTAGAGTTTTACACTCTGAGAAACCCTTCCCAGATCTGATTCTCTGTCTTTAAATCCTGCTCAGTTGTCTTTTGCTAATCTTCTCCTCCTTCTCTTTTTTTTCCCCCACCTGTAGGGCTGAATAAGTTCAACACTTATGGCTTAGATTCCGTAGCTCTGAGCAGTGGCAAAACAAGACTCGAGTCTTCTCTGGACATCAGATGTGAGATCTTCAAAGAACTGAGCTTCTCCTTTGTCTTTCAAATGTCTGCTGGAGGGGTGGTTTTTTTCCATCTGGGAGCTACTGCTTTTTCTAAAGTCTCGCTTCTGGTGACAAGACCTTTCTTCAAGTGAAAGCAGGATGCAAAACTCACACACTTAACAAAGTCTCTTGCGATGCACGTGCCCATGGAGGACCCCTATGGGACAGAGCAATGTCATGTGCAGCCTCCTCTGTGCAGCCACAGAAGTTCAGAGGTGACCAGCAAAAAATGTTGCTGGCACAAGAGGCTCTGCTAACAACGGGATGGCTCCCAATGCTAAGGGGGGATTGTTGCCTCTGGAATGAATTGTTGCCTCCAGAATTAAGTCAGCAGCTGTAATTCTGTGGGGCAGGCCATAAAAACAGGTTGAGGCATTGTGACTTTTGCATAAAGCACTGGACTAGGTCTCTGGAGACCAATACTTCTTTATGCTTTGCACTGCAGCTGGCTTGCTAAGCCCTGCTCATGCACCCCAAGGTGGTCTGGAGAGAAGTGACTTCAAGTGATATGAGCCCAAGTGAAACTACACACAAATGCTCACCAGCAGGTTTCAGAGAGATACATGCATACATACAACTACCTGCATAGAGAGGAGCTTTTCTTTCCATACGGTATTTGCTGATCCATC